GCTCGAGAATGTTGAAATGACGTTATTTTTTTACAACTTTGCTGCCCTCTCCTTTCTTTACGTCACTCTCAAATTGTCAGATTACTGGAATATACACTTTTTAGCATACACTTAACTCACCCTACCTTAATCTGACGCGCTCGAGAATTTCTAATCTGATCCTTTATCACTCACAGGCGGCCTTATATATGGAGGTTCTTAACCGGGTACAAGATATCCCCCTGTGTATTAATCTGCCGCGCTTTAGTAAATCTCGAAATCCCCGCTTGGGTTCCCCTATTATGATCGCCTCGTCGAAAACCATACCTATTTATCAGCCGCTTGGGCAGCAAAAATGCTCTAAGTACTGATTTTTGATGGTGGTGATTCATGCAGAAAAGAGGAAGAACTCCTGATGACTCTACTGATACCATTCTGTCAAGTAGAATCTCCAAACTAAACGTCTACGGCCTCCCTGTTGTTGGGGAAAGTACTACCGTAGAATGGACGATTTTGGATGCAGACTTCTATGGAGGTGCATCAATTTCGGGTCTTCTCTTCGAGTTGATACAACTCCTTCCGTGTCCACTTCACTACTCCAAACGAGTAGAGTGAGGTCGGAAAGGCAAGCATATTCGTTGCAGTACCTTTGTTTTCCCTCGACAGTTCCGTTAACCAGATCTGCTACTATCGCCTGTTAGTAGAGTTGTTCCACTCCGAGGTATGTACGTCTTTCATTCAACGTTAAGCTAGCAGAATTTGTAGTATCTACGTAGGATGGAAAGCAAAAAATTCAGGAAAAGAGTACAAAATTAACCTTAAATTAGCCTAAAACGATTGAACATAAACATAAAAATTCTAGCTTGCTAAACAGGGAAATGTTTCCTCTCTATTTGAGTTCATTGATCTAACTAAATCTATTCTCAATAATGCAACTTATCAGAAATAGCCTCTAGGAACTTATTACGGTCGCATAAAAATACGGAAATCATTGACAGCTGCTCTCGTTTATATTTCCTGAATCGTTCTCATTTCCATAGAAGATAATTTACCAGCACACGCTGTTTCAGAACAACCGTTAAAGGGTTAACGTCGTTACGTACAGATTTTAAGGTCGCTTTGACATTGAATAAACACAATATCGAGCCCTATTTCTTTATCTATTCCAGAAATTGTTTTGCAAATTAATTTCCCAAAATGTGCAATGGCGTAATAAATACTTCAGGGACTTTGTACAGGGTGAGCAGAACTTTTTGAAAAAGTTTAAACCCATGTCGGGTCTGTGAGAGTTTTGACCCCTTAAAGTCTTCGCAAAACCTTCAACGTACTTGAGTGTCATCCCCCAAAGTTCATACATGCAAATGGGAATTGAGAAATATCTCATAGAAAAGAGATTTCGATTTCCTATTCATTGCTGCTTATGGAGCTTTGGAATGCTAAGCATACTTTTCCAAAAGTTGAATCAATTTTCAAAAAGAAGCTCTTGTATGATCATAAGATTTTTTTCGGGTCTCAAGTCTTAAATGTTACCTATGGTTATGGATTAACCCTAACATCCGTGTACAAATCTCACAGCTGTCGGACTATTAGTTTGTGGGATACAATATTTTGGGTGAAGCAACTGTTGTTAGTTTGAAGGAAATAAATAATTTGGTATGGCGTGTGTTGAAGCGTTTCTTTTTTGGCAGTGGACGCGCCAAAGACAATGTTGCCGACGAAAACATCAAATCTGATGACGTGATATTTCGAGGGTAATTTTTTTGACATATCGTCGTTTGATCTAGACCATAGCCCCTGAAAAGACCTAAAAGACTAACAATTATTTAGCCTACGGCTAATAATAAGTTCACAAGGAATTGAAAGAGGTAACGTGAGCAATAATTTTTTTTACAAAATGAAAGATGGATGAAGAGGAATAGTAGTTATATTCTACAACAAGTGAGAAAAACGACATATTTCTCACGAGCGCAGAAATTTGTCGCAAATCAAACGAGTGAGAAATATATTATTATATACATGTGGTATTGCCACATGTACATGTTTGTATCTCGCGTTCTGTCCGTAGAATACTCACCTGTACGCGATTTTATCACATTGTTATCTTTGTTTTATTCAAATATCTCGTTGATTTTCTTCATTTGGAACTGAAACTATATTTTGTTCTGTGCAGGTTTCCCAACACAAGCGACATTCAACAACATAAACAACTGGTCAAACCTGCAGTCGAATCCTCCGCCTTTGAACGGTTCACTGAACGGAACCCTGAATGGTTCTTTGAACGGTACGAAGCCTCAACCTGTAATGCACATGTCAGTTCAAATGGCAGGTGCTGGTCCCATCCAGTACCATTGTAGCAGCGTGGACAGTGTGGAGCTGTTTTCATTGCTGTGCAGTCTCTTTTCGGTTTCAAGGGTGGGAATATAGATTGGAAAAAATTCACTATGGAACTGTCAGGGTCAAAACTCTCCCTGTACGATTATTATTTATACCATTGGATAGCATTTTTCATAGTCTTTTCAATGATGTATCAACAGGGTTCTCTTTCATGTCACTTCAGTTCCCCCTTACTATCCTAGAAACGGTTTCAACCATTTTACGATATCATCTTTCGTTCATGAGATATATCCCATTGTAAGTTTTAAAATTGACACACTGTATTATGTTCTACCGGTCTGGAAAATACCGCAGACCTGTATCTATTTCCGTTTAATTCAATTAGAGATTCATTCCAGGTCAGTTCATAACTGCTTTTTCCGCTTCGCAAGAAAACGGGATCGGAAACATTTCTAATCCCTTCAACAGCGGAGGCGTGAACTCTGTCAACTGGGGAAACGTCAACGGCGTGCAACCGACTCCACAGTCGTTCGCCAATCCATTCCGGGACCCGATCAAGTCGAACGGATCTTCTCATCAGGTCTTCCAACCTATAACTGCCTTTTCCGTGAACACAGTGCCTGTTGCTGTGAATGGTACAAACGGATGGACCGCGAATCCTTTCAAGGTGAGTGCATTATGGTAAAAGAGGCTTAGATAAGGCTTACCTTACGACTTTTTTAGGACTTTACCGAAACACGAGTATTGCTAAATTGACGTTATAATTTTGTCGAAGCTATAGGGCGGCGGCCGTCACACTTCTAGACAAGGACCACACAGTACGATGCGGGTGTCAACGCCGGGCCGCAAAGTATGTGACACCTCCACGTTAGGTCGCGCGACAGCCGCGCGACCCAATGTGAAGGCACTCTAAGGGCGTTCTTGCACTTATATGTATTCGGTTCATTTCGTTAATTATTTTGCACAAGCTGTGCCCGCGATGTCGTTCGCGTGGGAGTTTATATCGAAGAAAGTAATCATACATATTGTTCTTTAGAATATTCATTGGAAAGAGATATTTTTTGAGAACGACGTTGGCGAGGGTATCACTGTCAATCCCACTTAAGTGGACTCTTCTATTGCTTCTGTTCTTAAATGCCTTCAGCTCTTTATAGAACAAATATTTCTTTTGAAAAATGTTTCCCCTCACTAGAACAAAAATACTTCCTCTCTACGCGCGTTTCGTTAACTAAGTTAGCGCCATCAGATAATGACCAAGACTAATTCCTACGGCCATGTTGATGTTTTTATATTAATTTAGACAAATCATAACCCTACATAACGAGAGTCATTGAAGTAATTACTTGTTAATGTTCCTAATGTCATTTTTTACCTAATTTTTACCTGTTTTTCACCTGTGATTAGATAAGGGTGTGAAAAAAGGGCTGTGAGGAATGGGATCTTTGTCGCCGTTTATAGGTTAGATCTCATTTCATATTTGTCGATTTCCTAACTTCCGAAGGCTTCTCCAAACTTGTGGCCGCCCTCTGGAGTATGTTGAGTGACACTAGACTTCTCTGGTCTATGAAACCGATGACCAACATACTTTTTATCGCAACCCTCACAACTTATTTCACAAATCCCAGATTTGTTTTTCTATCGTTTTGTATTTCCACATAGGCCTGTGCAAATGGCAACATGCACAAGTCTGTAGTTTGTCTATACAGCCACTCTCCAGAATGATCTAGAGAGGCGCTGTAACGGTGTAGTGCTAATAGCTCCGGAGATAGTCAGGCAAGTTTGTCTTTGTAATTTAGAGAGCTCTGCATGAGCTTTTTGCTGTGACCCTTCGATATGTCCATAGGGATGATCCGATTTTATGTAGAAACTTTTTCAAATGATTATTCCAGCTGAGTTTTTATAACGAAAATGATACCCAGGTATTTTTTTCTCCTGCAAATGAAATAATCTCACCATTGAAAGAAAGTGGAGTTGAATCATCTTGGCACTGGTGACTGGGACTGTCCCAGGTTTACAGACATCTATATCTGGCACCAACAAGAGTTTACAGATCTACCATTCTTCTGTCAAAGACATCAAGTAAACTACCCATCAGTAGTGGAAAGAAAATAAAAGATAGTACATCGCCCTGTGGGTAACTCCATTTGGTGAACCCAATGGCCTTGTTTTGAAGAGTTTTATTAGCTTTCCTGTTTACTAACATGGCATAGATCCAGCTATGCCCTTTTCAGCAATAAATGATACCATAAATTTTGGTAGATCATTGTCAAATGCTCCTTTGATATTGACACCTAATGCTAGTGTTATCTAGCGATCCAAATTATCTCCACTGTGGATTCTCGAAAAATTGGAAACTTTATTTTGAAGTAAAATTGACAGATGTTCAAGATGTCGAGTGGGCGCCATTTGGGAAAAAAATTAAGTGGAAAGGGGGCTCCTCAGCGAGGCAAGGAAGGCTCAGCCTCTCCATAAAATTTGAGGCTATTCATCGCAATAAATCAAAATATATTGACGAATAATCATGATTATTTTTTTATAAAAATACTTGGTTATCATTACTTAACCATTAATTTTCAATATAAATACATAATATGCCCGAAAAAACACTATCACTCACTACGTAGTACGTACCACACTGTATCCTGCATCAACAAAACTCAAACGCATCGCCCATGAACGAATAACGAATAAACCATCAACCTGAAATAATAAATGCCATACGTTGCAAGGGAGCCAAGCCTCCGACCGCTTTAAAAAACACAAGCTCCGCGAGACCGATCCAGCCAGCGACATACGTCCCGATTTGTAATAATTTTAAGTCTTTATCTTATGATAATAAATTTAACATTATTAAAACTCTGGGAAGGCCTCAACCAAATTTGATTTCAATTAAAGCGTCAGATAATCGACAAAATCGAGGATTTAATATTATTTGGTACGATGAATGCGATTGGTTAACCGGCTCCATTAAACGAGAAAAAACTTTTTTGTTTACAAACTAAAATGAAGTCCATAGCTCCTCATGCACTTTTTATTTTCTTTATCCCAAATTTCAATTTTTTTTAATTGACCCGTTCAAAAAATAAAAGGGGGGCGACATTAAAGAAATGCATTATATGTTGATATAGTAAGTACTTCAGAATATGCCCTTCTACCTGATTCAATCAATTTTTTGTGGTTTCTGTGGATGAATTACTTTCTTTTTTGGATCAAGACACGTTAGATGAACGTATCTTTGGCTCTTATTGGCATCATAATATATTGTAATTATTATTTTTTGCAGGTTGGCGGGACATCAACCATGAATTCGAACAACCCGTTCTTATGAAAAAGCCGCGACCACCAAGAGCCTATGCCAGTGTGCCCTACGATTATAAGCAAGTTTTAGCCCACATGTTAACTCATTATAACGAACCACATAATATATGAATATATTCTCTCTCTATTCACCTCTCTATTTTCACCAGGCGAAAGAAGGAAATGTTATCTACCGGGCAAATGTCAAACTTTCTAATTTATTTTTTTGTTATGGTGTATTTATTTATTGGTCCGCGGCCCCGATGAGAGTACAGCGGGAACTTGTATCAAAGTTATGCCAAAAATGCTTTCGTCTATTATATTATATATACATAAAACTGTTGTAGGTTAGGTTAGGTTAAGGTATTCTCTAGGTAGATTTTAAATACGCTTATGCAAGAAAAACAGTAACGATTGCCTTTCACTATTTGTAGATTTTCGGAGAGTTACACGATCAAAAGCTCAGGACAAATCGGGTTACAGTTTATGTGTGCACAGGGTGGTTCCTCTTTCTGCTTTGGAAGTTGAAATATTGTAAAGACTGAAATTATGTTGGGAAGTTGCCTGCAAATTGTATCTTGTGGCTGTAAAATATTGATGTGTTATACTTCTTACAAAACTAATTTTGAATCGGAGTTCAAAATCACAAATTGGGTCTTGCATACCTTTGAATCAAATCATCATCCTAAATTTGAAATAGTCATCTAATGAAATCAAATTGACATTCCAACTTTTGAAATTACCACTTGAATCAACAATTGCCAACTTTAAAGAAGAAATGTTCTGTAGAAATGACAGCTGTCTCCCAAAATGTCAACTTACACTGACACTGGAAGTAGTTGTTTTGTTGGCAATTCTGCTCGAAATGGTGGGTGTTGAATTATATATCTTCAACTTAAAATATAATGTATGCATTACCTCATCCACAGTATATTCTTTTCCTGTTTATGATATTGTCAACTGTCAAAATTGATCTCTGGAATGTTTAAAATAAAAATATACTCGTATGAAAATTTCATTTCTATATTCACATGGTCTTTCATACATCCAATGAATATCATTGATCAATCGCAAAAGCTGTCAAATGACGTCACTGATCAATTTACAATGAAATCTGATGAAGTAATTTTTGTAGAAAAATGATCTGTAACCGATATTGGCAAGTGACACCATACTGTTATTATCCAAACAAAACACTTAGTCATAGTAAAACTCAACTGATAAGTCCACTCCCACTTCTTTCATTCATAAATTCACCGAGTTCTCAGTGACCTCGAAACGAAGTGCAGAGCCAATTTCGTTCGTAAATCACTTATAACCAACTACAAAAGCTAAAAACAATAATAACGACAGCGAATAAACTAAACACAATAATTTTCAACCGTTTATTATAACTAATCCGATGCTCGTGGTACGTCGAATCCTTTAATACTACAGCACTGAACGCGATGGATGAGAATCTCATCCTAAGAGTGGTTGAAGGTCTTTGGCAACTTGGGTGGATCACGTGGTGAGAGAGCCTACTGCTTGTATTATTCTACTGTGACTTTGTTGTTTGTGATATGAAAGAGAAATTTTCCATATTAAGAGCACCAGGTTCAAAAAACTTAGCAGTCCCAGGGTCAAAGCCACTTCCATATAGTGAGAAACATTGAATTTTAGTGAAGCCCAAGCAAACAGAAATGACATTTGTAACTGTTGATGACGATTATAGATTCAAAGAGAAATTATAACTCTTATGGAATCAGTATATTCAACTTTTCAAACACTCGAAATTGTTATTTGTAATGGCAACTTCCAACCAAATAATAATTGTCAACAAATTGACAGTTACATTGACATGGTGGCTATCACAGTATATACTTGTCAACTTCAACTGAGATTTGGGTCAGTAAAATTGTAACAACTTGTAAATCTTCAAGATATTCACTTCCCATTCCAATCGAGGATATGAATGTCAATTTGAAGTAGACTCTGTTAACCCTAATTAACTATTGGGAATGTTTGCTCCACATGAACCATATCCTCATAACAGTGAGGTTATAAATGTCAATTTGAAGTATATTTTCCTAACCTCAATTAACAATTGTAGAATCCACTTGCAATTATAATTACTTCTTGTAAACCTTTTCAAAATGTTTGCTCAATGTGACAATTTACAGCTCAAAACACCAATTGTTAACTGGAGGTAATGGATGTCGACTCTTGACATTTACAATGAATGTAGTCTCATGATGACAATTATTGTCGAACAACTTGATGTAGTATATATATATGTAGTTTAGGTATATCTGTATGTAGCCCAAATCTCTTGATACAAGATATGTTCTTCAAGATAGCATTTAAACCACTTTATGATTTTTTTTGTGATATGAGAAAAAGGAACTACCCTATTTTTATTTTGAAACATTATTGAGCTCTGATGGCTTCTGAGAAAGTTATTATTAAAGTTTTGTTGCAATTTTGAGCATCAATCAATTGACGACATATTCTGTGATAAAAAATTGCTGACACTAATTGTTCTTATACTAAACGATAGATCTAATACAGTAGCGGAGTATTTTATGGTGTTTTTTAGAAGAAGAAGATTCGCCATATTGGAACATAGCGTGACTATTTTTCCGTCCTGGACACTAACATAGGAATCTTTTTTGCGAGCACAATGTTCTGTATATTCATGAATAATGTCGAAATGGTTGTGTAAATAAAATTTAACACCAATTGTGTTTTTTTTTTCTATTTTTTGGGGGGGGTTTGTTAAACTTTTTAACAAAAATGAGATATGAGATCTTATTCACCTTTATTTATTGAATTAAATTCTGAAGGAAATTTCATATCAGATGCAGCAACTCAATTCAATTTAAATTGAAAGAAGTTATTAAAACAATGATAAAAATAAAAACAACAATAGAAATTAATTGGCGCTCCGGGGCGACTTCATTGATTCCAGTGGCGCATTTGCTTTTTCAGCTGCAGGAAAACTCGGAAAAACCTGCACTACACTACATCATCTGAAGATCTTGATTTACCAATGTCCTGTCTCTTATAACAAAGAAGTATATTTTTAGTAAAGAAATGTGGCTTTTTACTTCTCCGTCTTTGTACAAAAAAAAATAAGGGAATCTTTCGAAGAGAGGAAGAGAGCAATTGATTCGAAATGAACTCTTCACAAAGATGTATAGAAAATGCAAAGAAGTAACTTTCAGATACAACATACATGGAAAAAAGCGCTCGTGAAACAACTACTTGCATGAAAACATTGAATTACACGAAAGAAAAAACACTTTCGAAACAACTATTTTTATACAATTATACAAAAACACTATTTTAAATTAAATTCTATAACGCGTGTTTGGAGTACAAGCTGAATGCAAAATTACGTTTTTTGTCGATGTTCATATAAAAGTAATTATTTCAAAAGTGTTGTTTCTTTCGTGTAATTCATTGTTTGTGTCTGAAAGTTAGGTTAGGTTAGTTCCAAAGTAAGTGAGCCTATTCAACCCTCCGCCGCATCCCGCAAGGGTGTATTGTGGCTCACACATATTCACACTCGGCCAAATAAACCCAGCTTCTTAACGAAGCCGATCAGTTTGTTTGGTGAGCGGTCTTTCAGGTCTCTGAGAACCTAATTCGGCCCCCAGCGGTGTAGGCACAAAGTATATGCTCTGCTGTTTCATTTTCCAAACAGAAGCGACACGCACTGTCTTCCGACAGTCCGAGACTCTGCATATGATGATTCAAATGACATTGATCTGTAAGAATGCCTGTTAGATATCGTAGTTCATCCCTACTGTAGTCCAACAACTGTTGGGTATCAATCTTGGAAGGGGGAATAAACGCCTTGGAGTGAAGTCCATAAATCTTCTTGTTATCCAGGTGTTCGAGAGAGAGAAAGAGAAATACGTTTATTGTCCTAAGAAAGAGTTCTTGTTGACAAACGATTATGAACTATGTCATATGACATATGAACAGCCTATTCGATATTTCACGCCGAACATTTTCGAACACAGTAACGTCATTATCTCTAAAAATATTTATTATTCTCTGCCTTATATCCAATATTGAAGCAGGTTCAGTTTCGTACACCTTTTGCTTCAAATAGCCCCATTAAAAAAAGTCTAAAGGTGTCAAGTCTGGCGAGCGGGCTGGCCATTCTGTAGGACCTTGACGGCCAATTCAACGAGCGGGAAAAGTAGTATACACATAGTTTCTTACTTGTCTGGAGTAACGTGGTGGTGTTCCATCTTATTGGAATACAATATCCATATCGAATTCATTAGGATTCGCTTCAACAATTTCAGTGATGAGAGGGTCAACAGTAGTTTCCAGCATATTCAAATACGTTCACCTGTTGAAACTTGATCAATAAATAGAGGTCCTACAATATGGTTTCCCAATATTGATAAATTGTTGACGTGGTACCTATCTACTAGTAAAACCAAAAACTAAATGAGAATATGCTAACTGAATAATGATGTGCATGGTCGTACAGACATTTTTTGTTGTGTTTATAAACAAAAAATAACTTAACAGACCTTATCGGTTTGTTGAAATTGCCATATGGCAGATAAAAAGGAATATTTCTAGAAATATCGATATTAATGTTTTTGTTTCTGGCGAGCGGGCTGGCCATTCTGTAGGACCTTGACGACCAATTCAACGAGCGGGAAAAGTAGTGTACAAATAGTTTCTTACTTGTCTAGAGTAACGTGGTGGTGTTCCATCTTATTGGAATACAATATCCATATCGAATTCATTAGGGTTCGCTTCAACAATTTCAGTGATGAGAGGGTCAACAGTAGTTTCCAGCATATTCAAATACCGTTCATCCGTTAAATTTTGATCAATAAATAGAGGTCCTACAATATGGTTTCCCAATATTGATAAATTGTTGACGTGGTACCTTTCTACTAGTAAAACCAAAAACTAAATGAGAATATGCTAACTGAATAATGATGTGCATTGTCATACAGACATTTTTTGTCGTGTTTGTGAACAAAAAATAACTTAACAAACCTTATCGGTTTGTTGAAATTGCCATATGGCAGATAAAAAGGAATATTTCAAGAAATATTGATATTAATTTGTTTGTCTTTAGAAAATTATTGAATGTTCCGCCATTTTGTATTAGGTGAACTTCATATTCTAGGGTTGTGAAGTATTCATCAGGAGCTTCAAAATAAAGTATTTATGCATTAATTTCATTATCCCAAATTTCAGGTTTTTGAGTTGATCCTTTCAAAAAATCAAAGTGGGGGGACATTAAAGAAATGCGCTGTATAAAGGCGTTCCAAGGGGGGTTGAAAGTAGTCTGAAGTGTACATTTGGACTGAATGGTCTAGGCTAAGGCAACGGTCAGCCACAGGCGGCGAAAGGTCGAAACTTGTATCGCCAAATATTGTAATGTGTTGCACAAACATGCGCAATACACTGGTTATAGCTTTTCTAAAAGCTATTTTGAAATATTTGAATGCACTCAACACAGAGTTACAAGTGAATGGAAAATTAATATGTGATCTGATACAAACTGTATTTGCTTTTCGTCGCAAGCTGGATATCTTTGACAAAGGTATGGTAAGACAGCAATTCATTAATTTTTTGACAATTCTTGAATGTAAAAATAGTTTCTCACATATAGGTGGTGGGTACAGGCAATGTTTCATGTGAATCTCATAGGTCTGAAGAATTTTCAGAGGTGGAAGTCAATAAAAAACTACATGAACTCGTGGAAACTGACGATAGTTTAAAACATTTTTGAGTGCCCAGATAAAGATTTTTTATTGTACTCCATGCATAGAGAATATCAGACCCTGATTGATCTTAATTTCTTCTTGAAAAGCTTTATGAAAAGATCATAAAGCAGAGCGCATATGACAACCATATTCCCCCCAACTTAATTGAAAAACTGATCTCCATTAAGAACATAAAATTGATCATGAAGGAACTATACCTAAATCAGGAAGAACATAAAGAAGGTAAAAATATGTTGGCATAAGTTATTCAGGTCAGACAGGCAGAAACTTCGACATAAGATACCGAGAACATGTATCATCAGATAAAAAATCAGCCATATATGGACATCTAAAAGAAACAAACCATACAATAAATAAAGAAAACATGAAAATTCTTCATACATGTTACAAAGGAAGGGAGATGTATTTATTGGAAGCGTTGGAAATGAATAAATTGTACAAGGAGCCCAAGTTCATAACGCTCAACAACCAACTAGATCTATGCAGAACGCCCCTTTTGAATTTAGGAATTTTAGAAAACATCCAATGGTTGGCAATCGTGACATATTGTAATATTGGTAACGTGTTAGGACAGGTACCTAGAGCAGATACCTGTCCACACTATTTAAGACGCAACTTGATAATTTGTGGTAGTTACTTGAAAATGGCCTTATAAGCCGAAATCGGTCGTAACGAATAAATAAACACAGTAGAAACTAGACAAGAGTATCTTCTTTATTCTATATTCAACATGAATTTCTACAAAATAAATAAGTCATCAATCGACCAAGTTAGATATTAGCAATACGTTGTATCTCAGGTATTTGAAAAGACATTATTGTCGATTCATTTCATTAATTGCTATATACTGGGGACAAATAGGAAATGACAGAAGTTGAAAATTATTGTTTAATTTAATTGTCAAACTACATACAAGTTTGATGTAAAATTTTTGAACACAAATGAATTAGTTACGAAATTTTCAGTATAAGCTATGAACATATTTGAACAATTACTTCACAAATCAGCTACGATTCAATTAAACTTTGAAAGAAAGATCAACAGTACCTTTGCATACTCTAAATTGTTACTGATTTCTACAACCTAATTATATTCAAAAAAATCAAAGCCAATATATAAACGTCCATGAATCACAAAAAACTGTCTTGGAATCAAGAGTTCGTGTCACGCCTGGACCATTTCTCATATATCACTTTAGCAATGAGTTCATGTTAACGAAGAATCCTGAGACCTTTTATATTCCGAACCTTTTTTCCCTTCTCAGCAGATGAAGCCGCCTCCCGACTGTCTGTCGCCATCACTTCATCATTACCGTCAGATCTTTCTTGTAACTGAGTCTTCAGGGTTTTCCTAATATTCACTATTTCATTTTCGATGTCAGCTTTTCTTTGCATGGCTCTGGTTTTCTCTGCGTTAGCACGATGGATCTGACTTTCCACACAGCTTAGAACACCTTCGCAAGAAGAACACCAGTCTTGAAGACAGTTCAGTATCACGTTTATATCATCGGCTCGAATATCTCTGCCGATTGCATAATCTACTTCCAACTGACTATTTTTTTGATCGAGTTTACCGTGAATTATATCAGCATAAATAGCTTCAATGATAAGGTCTTCTAGGTCTCTCACATTCTTTATATCCAGTTCTTGAAGAAGAGTACTGTATGGTATACACTTGGACTTAGTGGCAAGAGTGACGATCGTGAGGTGCTGCAGTTTTTTCTTCTGAGCAGGTGTCAATTCCAACAATTCGCTTTGGTTCGCTAGGTAATCTTTATAAGTTCCAAAAGCAAACAACTCTAAAGTGTTCAAGCACTTTTTATCGGCGCTGTTCACCATTTCCACTACGTTTGGCATATCTAGTAATTCTCCAAACACGTACACGCCCGGTGTTTCCAGTGCTTGTTTGATGAGTTCTACGCAAGCGGACCCCTTGGCACTTTTGGCCAAGATGACAAACTGTTCTAAAGCATTTCCAGACAAAGGATTTTTATCGACGACCATTTTTCTAGCTCGGTACAATTGTAAAAACGATTCCGGATAATTCACAGTTTTAATCTATGAAATTCGGAAAAATAAGATCAACAACTTTTATATAAATTCCATAGATTCACATTTGACAATTTTGACATTGAAGTCTCAGCAGTCTTGCCAACAAGATACCAACCAAAAATTTCATAGTCAATTTTGTACATTAACAACAATTGCTCTATATTATCGAATTATTGTTGAAATCTTAAAAAAACATTTTGAAAGATGGAGAGTTGTTAGTAGGAACTGAAACTTAAAACCATTCATTAATGGAGAGAACTTCTTTTATTAAACACCAAATCAACGTACAGAAGTAAACACTTCTGTACGGTGACCAAATCCACTTTAACTCAAAGGAATAGAACATCATATGGACTTGATGTTTTAATCCCTCCAAGTAGTCTAAAGCATGTGGATATAGTATACCCTCCATAATTGTAGTATAGTCTGGTAGATTGTTAGTGAACTATTCCATAGTTTATAGCATAGTATAAAGATACTATGTTTAGAGTTTGATGTATTTCAAGTCATTATAGATTGTGTCATGTGCCATTAGTCACTAGCACAGTAGAGTCATTAGTGTTCCTCTTTAGCGACTTAAAAGCGCCCTGGCAAAAATTTCCTGGTCAACCATATCTGCAATTAGAGATTACCTTTCATTACAGACCAGACATATAGAGCCGTAACAAAGAAAACCACATTAATTTAGCATGGATCTCATCATCAAGGGTAACGATCCAGCCGACACCTTAGCCAATATTGGAAGAAACCATCCACTCTCTAATCGTCCTCAAGCAGACTATAGAGAGTTTCAAGCATTCTTAAAACATAATATCAAGGTTCAAGGATCTGGCTACTTGTTCTCGTAAAGGAATCGTCAATATGTGCAGAATTAGGAACAATTATTCCGTCAATAAAGTTCATCTCCACAAACTTATGTATTTCAAGTCATTATAGACTGTGTCATGTGCCATTAGTCATTAGCACAGTAGAGTCATTAGTGTTCCTCTTTAGCGACTCAAAAAGCGCCCTGGCAAAAATTTCCCGGTCAACCATATCTGCAAACAGCGATTACCTTTCATTACGTACCAGACAACTGATATATAGAGCCGTCACAAAGAAAACCTCATTCATTTAGCATGGATCTCTAGTCATTCCAACATCAAGGGTAACGATCCAGCCGACACCTTAGCCACTCTCTAATCGTCCTCAAGCAGACTATAGAGAGTTTCAAGCATTCTTAAAACATAATATCAAGGTTCAAGGATCTGACTACTTGTTCTCGTAAAGGAATCGTCAATATGTGCAGAATTAGGAACAATTATTCTGTCAATAAAGTTCATCTCCACAAACTAAAAGATAATTGATAACGACTGCTGCGAATGTAGGGAATACAGACTCTCCTACATATATTATTTGCCCGCCCTAACAAATCTCACAATATACAACTTCTTCTTGCCTCTCTCAGCATCCCTCTTTCAACAATTCAGCTTCTTACCTTCCACAATATCTTTTTCAAACATATATCACCATCCAACATACAAACCAGATCCAAATTTCTGATTACATCCAATATAAAGCTGTAATGATTAATTGACTTCAAATTACAGTTGAATTTTGTTTTAGGGCAAACCCAGGTGGGGTTTGGGTTCGACTGATCCACTTCAGTGTGGGCTCCATCTGTAGTAGCAACATGATTCTGGAACTCCTGGCTGGATAGCCCTGGTAGTTGAAGCCATTAATGAAAAAATAAGAAGAAGCTGTCAATAGTGTCAAGGTTAAGAATAATGTTCTGGTGTTGAAATTCAACTGCGAAGAAAATAAAACAAAGTTTTATAGGAATATATTAGTTCTGAGGAACACTGAAAGATGTTCAGCAGAACAAAATTGTCATTTAAAATTCTGACTGGAATCTGTAGATGCTCTCAGAGCCTTGCACAACCACTGCGAAGCAAAAAACCTAAATCAACAAAGAACACAGTAAGCAAATTCTCTATTGATTAACTTCCAATTTGAACGTAGTTACAAAGCTTTATAGATTTGAAACAACTTCGAGTTTCTGGAGGATCAGGCGGAGATGGTTGCATATCCTTCATGTCTATTTTCCGCAATGAATTTGCTGGACCTGATGGGGGCGATGGTGGAAATGGGGGTCATGTCATTTTTGAGGCGACATATGATGTTAAGGATTTGAAGAATGTTCCTACCATAGCCAAAGCAACCGACGGAATCAGGGGTGCTAATAAAGACTGCCACGGCAGAAACGCAGACCATTATATCATCAAAGTACCAGTCGGAACGATAATAAGGAATGCTAAAGGAACCGTTGTAGGAGATTTGTCGAAGGAAGGACTGATGTTCATTGCTGCTAGAGGAGGCGCCGGAGGCAGAGGAAATCACTTTTTTACCACTGCCACTGAACAAGCTCCAAATATTTGCGAGTACGGTGCTCAAGGAGAAGACTTAGAGTATACCATGGAAATTAGGAGCATGGCACACGTTGGCTTGGTAATTATTAATTCCAATGGCTCACGCTTATTTTTGAAAAATTTGAAGATATGGCACCTTGCAAGATGTAAAACTATCTATTCAGGAACTGCCTCTTGGTAATAACGTCCAACTATTATTGAAAAAGACCAACAAAAATTATTGGTATCCTCATCGTCTTTCATATTGTATCGTAGTTTCAACTTTTGAATGGCAATATCTTCAAAAATAGAGCCAAATTTTGACTTCAGACTCTTGATAAACTGACAGAAATACTCGAGTCTTTTTTTTTATTGCAAAAACTAGCGCAAGCCAATAAGAAACATCCAAGCTGTAAGATCATTTTCATCAAACTGGTGAATTTTCAGATAGGATTTCCAAATGCAGGTAAAAGCACCCTGCTCAGAGCAATTTCAAGAGCTAGGCCTAAGGTAGCTCCTTATCCCTTCACAACACTGAAACCGCATCTAGGGATGGTCCAGTATGATGATTATGAACAAATAGCAGGTTAGTCACAAAATGAAAAAGACAGTGGGTTTGGTATAGCTTTTGATGGCGAGATTACTACACAAATTTTTTCAGATGAACTGCCCAACATTTAATTGATCGAAAATAAATTTTCTCCACAGCAAAAACAAATGTGTATCCATTATTGTCTATTAATAATAATAATCCGTCTTTATTCATCAACTTCATAAGGAAAAACAAACTAGTAAAAGAATAACCGTGAGTGATGGATTGGCAAAGTAACAGCAAAAGCTGTTTTTCAACTCAACCGCAAACAAAAACGCTATATTATGGGTATAATCTTTCTATACAAATAAATTGTCATTATCATATATGGCAGATATGAATAATTGGCAACTTTTCAAGCCAGAAAATTCTGGACAAAGTGTCTGTGATATTATACAAATAAATTGTCATTATCATATATGGCAGATATGAATAATTGGCAACTTTTCAAGCCAGAAAATTCTGGACAAAGTGTCTCGTTATACCAACTTGAAGTTGGAGAACTATGTCAGGACATCTTTGCCATTTTTTTTTATTTTGCATTTTCACTGCCACTTGTAATTATTTAGATACTTATTTGTTGATTGAAATTATTTTACATTCAATTATGTTCTAGTTGCCGATCTTCCTGGGTTAATTCCAGACTCACACAAAAACAAAGGGTTAGGAATACAATTCTTGAGGCACGCTGAGAGATGTATGGCTCTTATATACATCATCGATATTTCCTGTTCTGAACCGTGGGAGAATCTCCAAACTCTACAGTTTGAATTGTCTCAATTCAACGAAGACCTCATAGCAAGGCCCCAACTGGTGATCGCTAATAAAATAGATTTACCGGATACTGAAGAGAACATTACGAAGCTGAAAGAACATACAGACTTACCTGTTATTCCTGTCAGTGCCAAAGTGGGGACAAATGTATTAGAGTTATTGAAAGAAATTAGGATTATATATAATGAGTATAAAGAAGCGAAAGAAGTAAATGGAGATTGAGTTTGCATTTTGTTTTATTGAACACCCATCAACTCAGAGTGAATGTGGTATATAGTCTTACTTTGATTTGAAGTTTCATAAGAGTAGTGTAAAAGCCCTTATTACGGACTGAGTTTTTCGTGGAGAATTTGTTTTCAAGTTGATATAAATATAGATCCGGAAACACTCAATAGTTTTTACTGCACAATTGCTCAAAAACTAACTTCATCCCCTGTTCCTACTTCAAATCCTATGGATTATTTAAATAATGTAAATATGCCCAACAAATTTCATTTTGAAGACACAAATTTATTAGAGCTGAAAGAAGTCTTGCAAGAAAATAAAAACAAAAATGCAACAGGCATTGAAGATTTTGTTTTAAATATACTAGTGATGACTATAAATAAATCCTTTTCCCTTAGAAATTTCCCTCCGTGTCTAAAAACAGCTCTTGTAATTGCTATTTTTAAAGGTGGTAATGCAGAAGATCCAAATAACTTCTGACCTATCTCCATGCTCTCAACACTCTCCAAAATCATAGAAAAAATTGTGAAAAAAAGCGTATCAGCTTTTCTTTATAAATACAATATATTAACCAACTCTCAATTTGCCTTTCAGAAGGCAAACGGCACAAATGTTGCAATTTTTTCTTTTCTTGAACATGTCTACACACATCTCAATAATGGTGAGGTTGTAGCTGCAGTATTCTTTAATTTCTACAAAGCTTTTCATTGTGTAAATCATGAACTACTTTTGCAAAAGTTGAACTACTATGGCTTTAGAGGAGTGTATAATGACTGGTTCAGGTCTCACTTAAGTGATAGGAAACAGTAGGATCAAACGAAAAACTATCACACACTAATGATATCTTATGGGGCGTTCCACAAGGATCAGTACTGGGCCCGATTCTTTTCCTCATATATGTAAATGACCTTGATACTCTCAATTCAAGGGATTTTTACGATCTTTGCGGATGACACCATGCTCCTTTGGCATGGAAAAAATACTTATAATATGAAAGAAATTATCTCTAGTGATTTAGAAGTTGTGAAAAAATGGTGTGACGCGAACTACTTGTGCTTTAATATTAAATAGGATCAAACGAAAAACTATCACACACTAATGATATCTTATGGGGTGTTCCACAAGGATCAGTACTGGGCCCGATTCTTTTCCTCATATATGTAAATGACCTTGATACTCTCTCAATTCAAGGGATTTTTACGATCTTTGCGGATGACACCACGCTCCTTTGGCATGGAAAAAATCCTTATAATATGAAAGAAACTATCTCTAGTGATTTAGAAGTTGTGAAAAAATGGTGTGACGCGAACTACTTGTGCTTTAATATTAAAAAAACAAACCTACTCACCTTCAGCTGTAATATCAACAATTTATACTTGAATGGACAAATTCTTGAGAATAAAAACCGATCTAAATTCCTGGGAATCTTCAAGAATAACAAATTAAAATTCGATCAACATATTTCAGCTTTGAATAAAAAATTGACATCAGGATGTTATGCCAATAGTTTCAAATGAACTGAGTTCATCCACAACGAAAATGGCATATCATTCCCACCTGAGTATGGTGTTGCCTTCAGAGGATTTTGCAGTCAATAACTTTTTCATTCAGTGTTTGTTTTGCAAAAGCGAGCGGTTATATACTTATGCAAGGTGAGAGTGCGTGAGTCATGCAGAGCATTATTTTTGAGAGAAAAAATTCTCACTGTTACTTATATTTTCATACTGGACACTGTTTGCCTGATTTACAAAAAACATAATATGGTTGGAACTCCGGAACATATAAATTACATAACCCGACAAGTAACAGAAAATAAAATACATCTTTCTGTTCCAAAAACAAGTCAGACAAAGTATTCTTCAATTTATGAAAGTAAAAAGCTGTATAATCACATACCTTACGAAATTACGAAGGAAAAAAGCTATTTAAAGTTCAGAAATCTTGTTAAAGATGTCCTTGCAACTAAAGCTTACTACAATCTAGATGAATATTACAATGGAACTTTGCTGTGATTTAATATATGTTTTTTTGTCGTTTATATTGACACCTATACTTTAAATTATATTTTATATTGGGATATATCTTATTTTATTGCCATCACATGTGAACTTATGTTCAAATTGTGTTTTTGACATTTTTTGAAAGGGGCTATATAAACTATTTTGTCTACAAACTTTGTTAAATTTTATTTGTTATTGTTATATTTAATCTATTAGATATGTGAACTTAGTTTTGCTCAAATTGTGTTTTTGGGTATTTGTGTTTTTGAATTGTTTCTTTTCTTTTATTCTTTGAAGTGCTATACATACCAGATTTTTCAACAAGCTTTGTCAATAAGATAGTAACGGGTGATTTTTTAAGAGGTATAGAATTTGATTTTCAAAACAACAGAAAAAATTGATGAAATCCTTAGTGGAATCAATAGAACGATCAATATAATTTATTGTTTGGAGATGATTTCATGCAAATTTTTTCCGCGGCTCCGCTTTAGATGGCCCATGCACCAGGTCCAATTTTGGCACACTCTCTCTAACCTATAGACCGGTATTTCACGTATAAATGCTTCAATATTGGCCTCCAGAGCGTCAGTCGTTGCTGGTTTATCCCTGTAGACATGAGCCTCAACATGACCCCACAAGAAATAATCCAAAGGCGTTAAATCACGCGATCTAGGCGGCCAATTGACTGGCCACAAAAGTGAGATAAACTGTTCACCGAAGGCGGCTCTTAATTGGGTCATTGTTTCGTACCGTGTGGCACCGTCTTGTTGAAACCACATGTCAGGCATGTCGAATTCTTCCATTTTGGGCAACAAAAAATCGTCAATAATCACACGGTAGCGCTCGCCATTCACAAACAGTAACGTTCCGGCCATTGTCGTCTTTGAAGAAGTGCGGCCCGATGATGCCGCCGATCCATAATCCACACCAAACAGTGACTTTTTCGGGATGCATCAGTAGCTCTTGCAATGTTTGTGGCTGTACTTTACTCCAGATGCGTCAATTTTGCTTGTTAACGTATCCATTCAACCAGAAATGAGCCTCGTTGCTGAACACAATTTTTCGATATAAATGTGGATCTTCCTCCAACTTTGCCAGCGCCTATTTACCAAATGTTAGACGTTGTGGAAGGTCGTGTGGCTTCAATTCTTGCACCAGCTGTATCTTATAAGGTTTTACACCTAAATCCTTTCGCAAAATTGTCCACGTAGTGGAGTAAGAGAGGCCCAATTGCTGCGAACAGCGGTGAATCGACATTTCACCGTCATCATGAACACTGGCGAATACAGCCGCAATATTTTCTTCGGTCCTCACTCTACGTATGCGTGTTGGTGGTTTGATGCCCAATAATGTAAACTGGATTCGAGATTTAGTTACAAGCTTCCGAATAGCTGCCTCAGTAGGCCGACGAAACTGTCCATAGATTGGAAACTGTCCATAAATTGGCACTTTCTTCACCGAGCATGAATTTTGATAACAAAATTCAATAATTTGCAAGCGTTGTACATTCGTAAGTCGATTCATGCTTAAATTATAGACCAAACTGAACAAGTTTGACAATGACACAAGACACGATTCATGCGTGATCTGTCAAAAACAGTGTTGCCAAAAAGAGCGTGATCTGTCAAAAACAGTGTTGCCAAAAAGATACCAGCAAAAAAAATCGCTCATTATTTTCTTGGACAATAAAGTATATGTCTATCTACAAACCACCCACAGGTTGAACAAGGAACAGAAAGTTACTCATTGGAAAAATCGATTTATTAAAACAGTCGACAGTAAAATAATATAAATAAACCCTTAAAGTCAACTTGAAATGCACTTTGAATAATAAGTTTTGAAGCCAAAACATCTCACGACAGTTTACTTTCAGCAAACTTCCTAGCCAGATCTATAACATCATCGACCGCAGCGTTATTACTACCAGAAGCCTGGGCGGAATCTGGTTTCCCGCCTCCTTTCCCACCCAACTTTTTCGCCACTTCCTGCACCCAATCGTTAGCTTTCAACCCTTTCTCGATAGCCTCTTTCGGAACAGACGACAAGCAGAACATCTTGTTGGAGTCTGGATCCACGGTGACGAACAAAGCCGAAGTGGCGGGGCTCAAACTCCTCACTTGCTTCAAAGCGGTGTCAAGAGCTTTAGTGTTATTGAACGCCTTGAGCTCCTTAACCAGGACGGGAAGGTTAGGGTGCTCCTTGACGAATTCCTTGACTTCATCGACAACTTTGTTGGCCACTGCTGCTTTTACGGCGCGGTCCTTATCGTCCAAGGCCTTCTTGAGGTTCTTCAACGTGTTCCTCATTTCGTCCTTTTTCCAGTACGGTATCACTGCCTGGGAGACTTCCTCCGTGAGCTCTACGATTTTCTTAACATGTTCCTTAGACCTGCTGCCATCTTTGTCAGTGTCGATAAGAGATTTCAGTTCGTTCAGCCTGTTTTCCAGCAGCTCGTTTTTCTTCAAAGCTTTAGTAGCTTCCGGCCCTGTGAGAGCTACTATCCTCCTTATTCCCTTGGCGATGGCCTCCTCGCTAGATATCACGAAGTCCCCGATATGGCCTGCATACTGCACATGGGTGCCACCGCAAAACTCAATAGAAGTACCATCACCCGCTGGGCTGAACGGGTCTCGTTCCAGCTCCTCCACTGGAATACCCACGGAAACGATCCTCACCGGGTCCGGGTAGGTTTCTTCAAAAACGGCACGTAGCCCCCTCACGGTTTTTGCCACTGCCAAACCAGCTTCTTTGGCATACACTTTGTCATTCCTAGCTATCAGCTCTTTAGAGCTCTCTTCGGTTTTTTTGACTTGCTCTATCGTCAATGCTCCCTTGTTCGTAAAGTCGAACCTTAGCCTGTCGGGGGCTACCAAGGACCCTCGCTGGTCCGCTTCGGTGCCCAAGACCTTCCTCAAAGCATAGTTGAGGATGTGAGCGCCAGTGTGGTTGCTCATCACCAGACGCCTTCTTGAGGCGTCAATGTGTAGACTGACTTTATCCCCCTTCTTCAGTGTTCCTTCCAGGTTTCCTATGTGAACGATGTAACCCCCTCTGACTTGGACGTTCTTTACGGAAAACTCAACGCTGTCATCCCCAACTTTCACAATGTACCCTGTGTCGTAGATTTGACCTCCTTGTTCTGCGTAGAAGTTTGTTTTGTCCAAAAGGATGCCGCATTCGTTTCCTGTATGAACTTCATCGACGAACTGTTTGTTGAATCGTAGAGCAATCACAGTTGCTTCGCACGGTTCAAAGGTGTATTCTGAATCGACGTTTTGTCCAGATTTATAAGCGTACTTCAGGGAATCATCCGTAGGAGGCACACCCTTGTCCTGCAGTTCCGTTATTGAGTGAACATCCAAGTTGATGTTGTCTGCAACTCCAGCACCCTTGCCCTGAGAAAAGTTGTTCAATCAAATGACTGCAACATATTACTTGTATAAATTATTATATTGAGGACGTTTTCTAATATAAATTACGTTTTTTAAACAATATCGATTTAAAATTTGGACTCGAAAGTTCATTTTTAATAAAGTTTCATTGATTCCAGTGGCGCATTTGTTTTTTCAGCTGCAGGAAAACCCAGAAAAACCTGCAGCACCACATCATCTGGACTCAAAACTAAATTGGAAGGTACAAATAAGCAAAATGAGTAAGAAGCTTAATTCAGCAAAATATTGTATAAGGAGAATGAAAACAATTTCAACACATCAAGCGGCTAAAATAACCTATTTTTCAAACTTGCATAGTATAGCAATCCTTTTGTGGGGCACAAGTTCTGATTCAAACAAAATATTTGTTCAGCAGAAAAAAGCCATCAGAATTCTATGCAAACTTGCATATAGAGATAGCTGCAAAGAGGCTTTTCGTCAACATAGATTCCTCACCATTCCCAGTGCATATATATATAGTTGTCTAATAATAATAAATTGATTGATTTATTGAATGGAACTCACTTTTTTTGACACGACTGTTGTAAGGTTTTTGCAAAGTGTTTGACAATAGTGTAACGGTGGTAAAAAGTGGAGTATTTGATAGTGAAGCAACAAGGTCAATATAAGATGTAAATGAGATTCTTACCCTCTTCCAGTATTATCAGGATTTCCCCCGTCAGACAGAGCAATGGTCAAGGTTCTGGCATGGTCAGCAAGAACTCTGTAGGCCATATCGATTCCATCTACGTCTTCACTTCCTACCCTTCCCTGATAGGGTGGAGCTCCAGTTCCTTTTTGAATGGCTTCGAACAGTGGCATAAACAAATCAGTGTCGTAGTTTGACCTAGAATTTCATAATAATCCATAGATATGAAGTTTGTTGAAACTGTTTAAGATTTTTGTTTAACCAAACTTTAGTGATTTATAAGAAACCAAATATACAGGTGAAAAATTTGTCAATAAGATACTAATCTTCCGACAATAAAGCATATATTGATTGATTGATAATCCATACTGAGCAACAATAATAATGTTCGAAGGAGACTTTTTATTTCTATTTCATTAATGACCTGGGCACTAATATTGATATACAGGGTGTCAAAACAATTCTTCCTATCAAGGGAGACTGAATTATTTTTTAATTTTTTTTTTTGTAGTTCAATTCTAATAAAACGTTTAACAAACAAATTTTTCTACAGATTTTGCTTGCATTTGTTAATATTTTCTATCTTTTCTTGGAAATGTTCATGACAGTTCCAATGCATTACTTTTTAAACAAAGTCCTTGACTTCAGTCAGATCTGATTTAGTTTTACGAATGACTGGAAAATTATTGTGAAGTTACTTATTTACACAACAAAACTAAAATTCATAAGTGTAAACTCCAAGAAAAATTATATTTTGAAAAACTTACTCATTGACTGTCAAACATACCTTTTATTTTGAATCACAGATACCAGCCTCTCGAGTCCAAGACCACAATCGATATGTTTTTTCGGCAAGGCTTTCAAGGATCCATCAGTTTCCCTGTTGAACTGGATGAACACCAGGTTCCAAATTTCCAGAACATCAGGGTCATCCATATTAACAAGTTCTGGCACATCACGACCCCCGATTCGATCATAATGAAGCTCTGAGCAAGGCCCACATGGACCGGTCTCCCCCATTTCCCAGAAGTTGTCTTTCATTGAGCCCGGTATGACATGACTAGGAGTTATCCCAAGATCTAGCCATATCTATTGGAAAAATTGAAAGTATACAAGAATGCATAAGTCTAAACATTTGTTAACAACTAGCTTGAGCCATTAAATTGAATATTTATGAAAAACCATATTTCCGAAATGAATTACCTGTTTACATTCATTATCTGGCTCCAGTCCAGATTTAGAATCTCCCCCAAAATAAGTCACATAAAGGCGATCAGCTGGTAACTTCAGCTTCTCCGTTAGAAATTCCCAAGCCCAAGTACAAACTTCTTTCTTGAAATAGTCCCCAAATGACCAATTTCCCATCATTTCAAAAAACGTATGATGATATACGTCTTTTCCAACATCATCTAAATCGTTGTGCTTTCCCCCAGCACGAATGCACTTCTGAGTATTCACAGCACGAACCAATTTGGACAAGTCGCTGTTTGGATCAACAGTTCCGAGGAAGATCGACTTGTACTGGTTCATTCCAGCATTGGTGAAGAGCAAGGTGGGATCGTCCAGAGGTATTGTTGATGAGGAGTGGACATAAACATGATCTTTTTCTTTGAAGAAATCTATATATGCGTTTCTCACCTCCTTTGCAGTCATTGTTACAGTACTCATTTTGTCTTAGGCTTCTACAAGTTCGAAATAAAACTATTTAGTTCACAAACACGTATGAAATTTAAAAAAACTTCTTCAGGCAAAGTGCAAAATAGTGATGCAATATTTTGATGTTTTGCAAAATAAAATGCAATACTGACCTATGTTTATAGTAATGGCGAAGTGAAAAACTCTCTTTTGAAAACGGCGGATTGTTTAAATGAGAAAAACCACTAACATATGGCAAGAAGTACTAACAAAACTGCACGCTGCACCCGTTTTAGTACTTTCATTTCATTCAAGTCAAAATTATTAGGTTAGGTCGATGACCGTGAACATTGCCATTAGTTAGAAGTGCATAGGTAACACAGACCATGGTATGTGGTGCATAATTGAGAGAGAAAGAGAAAGAACTTTATTGTCCAAAGAACAGAATTCTTGTTAACAAAGTTTAGAAATACATTTATGTATGTACACATATATCTATATACACACACACACACACACACATATATATATATATACACACACACACACATATACATATGTAACACAAAGGGATCAATTCAAAATTAAATAAACACCTTAAAATAATAAAACCAAGTAAAATAATATAAAGTGCGTATACAAGTGATTGCAATGTTAGTCAAAATCTTCATTATAATATTCGTCTAAAGTATAAAAAGCTTTATTTAGCAAAAAACATTTTACAGCACTTCGAAAATTTTTATAATTGATCCAGCCTGTGAAAATAGTGCTCCTAATGACAACTACGTGATTACGTCACAATCCTTTATGTCAAAGAATGTAAGCTTCACAGTAGAATATACTTGTATCAACACTATCTCCCAAGTTTGTTGGCCGTGTTCTGTAGGCTTTTATATGTGACGTTTCGTTTACAAGTGCGGTAGATATTAAAAGCTATGAGGCAAACACAGAAAATAGCTTTCACCCAGTATGCTTTATGTGTTACATAATTTCAATGTGCACGTACAAAAATCATGTGATTAGCGATGAAATGGGTTGTACAGTGCATCAAAAGTACATATTTAATGCTTTAAGTATGTTTTTACAATTTGAAGTACATTAATTCTAATTACCTATCTGAGTTCAGCCAATTGATGTTAAAAATGTGTACCTGAGTTTGGGAATAACTCAATAAACATTAACATAACAAATGAAGAGAAAGTGTACAACCTCGTTTGAATAAACCTGTAATGAATGAAATTACCTGAGCTGATGTACCTGTTTCCTCATTTGAAAAACGCAAGTGTGCATTATACATAATTTTTATTTATTAATTTCATTATCGGATACATCAGTAATCACTGTAGTTGATTGCAAAACCGAGACAATAGGGCTAATGGTGTGAGAAATAAGATACATGTTTTGAAATGAAAATTAGGATGATATCTAGAGAAAACTGCATCGATTATTGGTCCACGTCTTGTGGTAGTCTCATATCGGTTATTATCCATTTGTAGTTCTGATTCATCTTGCAGAAAGTTGACCAAGAATTGCCCATCTTCGAACGCGAAATTGACATTAAAATCTTTTGCAGGAAAGAGAAAAGCAAGAGCAGGAAAGAGAAAAGCGAGAGCAGATAACGACCTTCCCTCTACAATGACTGCTCACTAAAGAAGGGAATGTTCTATTGGCGTTGGTGATAGCAAAAATCTGGTTATCGGTTGCAGTTTGCGAAAGAATCCGAAAATGCTTTAGATGGATGAAGTTTATTTTTTTGCTTCTTTATATGATTTCTCCAAAATTTCTCTATACGCAGTCAGATACAGAAAAGACCTTTTACCTTTTCAAAATTTCATCCTTCACACATAGACTCGGTATCGAAACAAAGTTCAGACATCATTTCTTTGATAATAATATATAATATAACACAGATTGTGTCGCAAACAATATAAAATGAACAGTGGAAAAAATGAAATGTTACAACACAGATGAATGAATTAGAGAAGACGAAAGAACGTAGGGTTGCATTCTTGGTTTACTTTCTGCCATTTTTCAGTAGGTTTTGCACCATATCCTAGTGTATTCAGATTATGCGCCAATACGACCCTATGTTTTTTATACAGATCCTTTCCTCGAGGACCAACAAATTTACCTGTAGCCAGGAAAGAGTGCTTCTCCATGACCTCTAACATAATTTGCTCTTACTTTGAATGACATATTTATAAAGAAAATTAAATCCCTTCAATGACAATGATATAAAATTGCTGATTTTACTGTCTTGGGTACTTCACTTGTTCTTTACATAAAACCATAGAACAAAGAAATATTCATGCATAAAGCGTACAAAACACAAATTTCCATGTGAATGAAAGAGAGTTAGAAAAGCAATGTAATATCTAGTATCGTTTCGATTTGCGTCTCGCACCGATACGATACAGCCAATTGTTAGAATTCCACTACCTGTAGGTAGGAGGTAAGGTAAGAGTGGTAGTCGAATTTACCTGACAACACTGTTGCCAACCGTAGCGGAATTCCGCTTTCATAGCAGAATTTCACACTCAGGAGTATGTAGCAGAAAATTCAATATCTTGGATAAAACACTATTGAAACACTAATATTCAATTGATAATTTTTGTTCGCAATGAGTTTATTTTTGACTGAATGAATTTGTTCGTACATATTTCAGTAATTAGCATCAAATGGTAATAACCTATGTAATGGAGAATGAAAAATGCATAACTCTCCGATTCCCTTAAAATCCGTGAAATTCTCACATCCTTCTAGGTTTTTCATATAATAGAGCTTTTTTTTCCTAGCCACGTGCTGTGGCGTTAACATCCAGAGTTACCTTCTTTCCACAAACCATGTGATTGATACCGTCATGGTTCGAGTAATTTTGAATTGTTTTAGAGAATTTGATTGTGAAATTGAGGAATGATCGATTTGTGGATAGAACACCAAGAAAGATCTGCATTGGGCATGCGAGTTTCTAATCATACCATAGCGGGATGTTTGTCTAGGTAGCTTTTGACTCGCATGCGACTTACGCACGCCTCCAATTGGTTGGCAACACTGCCTGAGGAGAAAGCGATGGTATAAGAATATAGGTAGAATAGAGAGAGATATAAAAGGAAGTGAATGCACTAGCAGTAAATAATAGATGCAATAGTTTGCGGCTATCCTCATTTATTTGGTCAAACGATGGACTATTGTTGAACAAATATCTTGCTTGAGCATAAATCACTGACGCTAAAATAATTTTTTGAATTATCAGTGATATTACTAGTTTCCACTTGTCTTTTAATCAAACATTTTTGAAAACTTTCCGGATACTGAGGTTGACTTGTATCGGCAACTTTTAATCTAACCACTCCATGTTTCATTGTTTGTTTGTGTTGTGACACTAGGATTCTACGTTTCTACGCGAGATTATTTCAAAAGAACAGGAGATAAACCAGTGGTGATGAAGATGAAACTGGTAGACCAGGTTGTACGAAGTTTTAGGGTGGCCAAAGTATTTCGAGAAAATACTGACAAAATAAACAGCATCGATTTTTCGCCGAGTGGCGATACTTTGATATCTTGTAGCGAGGACGATCAGATCGTGATTTATGACTGCGAAAAAGGCACACAGCTCCGGACGGTCAACAGCAAGAAATATGGTGTTGATTTGATACATTTTACACATGCCAAAAACACTGCCATTCACAGTTCCACCAAAGTGGACGATACCATTAGATATTTATCCTTGCATGACAATAAGTACATCAGGTATTTTCCTGGACACACCAAGAAAGTGGTTTCACTTTGCTTGTCCCCTGTCGAGGACACCTTTTTGTCAGGCTCTTTAGACAAAACGCTTCGCCTGTGGGACTTGAGGTCTCCTAACTGTCAGGGTTTGATGCATCTATCTGGAAGGCCTGTAGCGGCCTACGACCCTGAAGGACTCATTTTTGCTGCTGGAGTTAATTCTGAAAGCATAAAGTTGTATGATCTTCGATCTTTCGACAAGGTAAAGTCATGTTTTCATGTTTAGTTTCATTTAATTTTCATTATACAAAAGTTATATGGGTGATCGTTATATGGGTGATTTCTCTTCAGAGAAAATATGACAAACATTGACCTATTTTTTGGGAAGTTCGTAATTTTTTTATCTTCCTAGTATGTATTGCATTTCACTTAGATTGTGTGCATATACATCATGCATGTATTTTTAATGCATATAAGTACGTTTGTAACGAAAAAGGTTACACATTATTATCAATAGAATACACATTAAAGCACTTTTAGGTATCATCTTTTTATATACAAGAGAAACAGGGACGAAACAATTAACGTTTTACTTTAATCAGAGGGAATGATACCTTGTAGTTGAACCACTGAATTTCAATATCGCGTACTGGTAAATTTATATTGCCAGATATTTGAGTGGCAAAATGCAATATGAAGTATCTACAGACTAATTATTAAAGTGTTCATAAATTCTGTAAGTTCAACTCAAAATCAGGAAAATTAAAAGTGATTCTTGATGGAAAGGTCAGGTTGTTTGTCAACTTGGCTCTGAGGCGTAAATTGATTCTCTCTGGCACTTGACTCACGAAACACGAGTCAAGAGACAGTGTTTTTGTTCTGGTGTCGAAAAGATGATTTTTGAGAAAAACAATTTGATTCCAAATCTGATTTCTTCACGAAAAATAACTTTCGTTCAATATCACGCTTCTGGATTTACTATCATACATTTTGTAGCGACCTAACGATTTTTTTGAATCAACTTATTGATGTTCTATTTTGTTTTCAGGGTCCATTTGTAACCTTCAAACTGACGCAAGAGAAAGAATGTGACTGGACAGGCCTGAAGTTCTCCAGAGACGGAAAAACAATATTAATAAGTACTAATGGCTCCATCATCCGGCTGATTGACGCCTTCCACGGAACACCTCTCCAGACGTTCACAGGCCACCTAAACAATAAGGGCATCCCCATCGAAGCATCTTTCAGCCCGGACTCTCAGTTTATCTTCAGTGGGTCCACCGATGGAAGAGTACATGTGTGGAACGCTGATACAGGTTATAAAGTTTGCGTTTTGAATGCAGATCATCCGGGCCCTGTCCAGTGCGTCCAATTCAATCCGAAGCTGATGATGTTGGCGTCTGCCTGCACGAACATGGCTTTTTGGTTGCCAGCAATGGAAGATACGTAGGTGTCTCGTTGCATCTCTTTGGAACACATCAATTTTTTCTAGTGAGATTAGGTATTAAAAATGAAAATTTTTATGTTAGTTTCATCTGTACTCTGGCAGTGCATATACAGGAGTGTGGGGAGTGTATAGAGAGGTAAAGTGTAAAGTACCAGGGTGACTTTCCAAGCCAAATATTGATGCTTTGCGGTAACTGATTATTCTCAGAAAAAAGGAAAATCTATCTCTCAGTTTCATCAATTACCTCTTCATCGGTGCTTAATTTCTTCCCAGCAAGTATTCTCTTGAGAAAATTCACTGGAAGTCAGATCTGGAGAATACGATGGATGCGGAAGCAATTTGAAGTCCAATTCATGACGTTTTGCAATCGTTTTTATTGATTTGTGACATGGTGCAATTTCTTGATGAAACTGCACTTCCTTTTTGTGAAATTTGATATGCGTATTGCATGGTTTCTGGATTTGTTCTGAAGAAGTACCATTTTGTCAGATATTTTGATGTTTTCAATGATGTGAATATCTCATTTTAGACCTACTTTTTGGGTTCTTTGTGAAGAACCGAAACATTTGATTTTATTCCATTTGATTTACCAAATGTTGGCATACTACTACTGTGTGATATCTGTAGTGTCATCTACAGAGAAATAAAGTTTCAGAGCCTGGTCGCTGGAGTGGTCTCAGAACAGAACCCTGTTGCATTCCTGATGTAACAAGTCGATTAGAGATCCAGGTTGGCATATTGGTATATAATTTTCCAATGACATTTTGCCAGTTTCATTTTTAGTGATCTTTAAAGCTTACCAATTTGTAGTAGGATTATGATTGGTATCTTTTATACACTGAATTTTACAGAGTATTTTATATTAAATTTATTCTGTGTAGAAATCAAAATCATGAAAACTGTATCAAGAAGAGATACATACTTAAAAGAAAATAACATTTCCGCATTTTCTTTGTATAAAGAATGAGAAGCAGGAAGACAAATCATTTTTTCCCCGAGAAAATTAATATTTCGAAATACAATTTCCAAACATTCATCTCTCTCTACATACCTAGACAGTAGGTTCTAGTATCCACTATCCAACGTGGTATTAGCCGGGGTAGTAGTTGTTTTCCGGCAGGCATTTACCAGAACCTATTGTGTAGATATGTTTCTTCACAGCCAAGGGCTTTGTTTACGAGATGGAGCTTTCATTAGTTGACCGTTACCTGTCTTGCATCGATGAGGGGTAATACTTCGGAAACCGGTCTGTAATTGATCTACTTGAATGATTTATTTTCTAAAAAAACTAATCAATACAGTTTATTGTATGATTTTCACTATAAAGGGTTTGACACATGTTTTGCTATACAATAGCTTTGTTAAGCGTAAACATTTATTTTCATTGATTCTTTGTTTTGTCATGTTTGTGAATAATCTTTGTGTATAAATTATTCTGAAAGAAAAACAAAGAAAGTGTTAGTAGATTGGTTGTAACAATTTCTGTTCAAATTGTTCAGTATATTTGAGCAGAGCTGATTCTTTGGAATCTCTAAAATCGTAAACCATAGTCTAATGAGTAGAGGTAAAGCTGGAATCTGATTATTACTACCTAAATTGAAATTGAAAGACTTATGGGAAAACTCATAATTTGGATTTGATATGATTTCTTTATTCAAAAAAATATTGTTGGGCCTTTGTCACAACTGTTGTACTTTTTGTGTTAACCTGATTATTTCGAAACTTTCCATGTAAATGTAATCTATACATTTTTTGTGCATGTCATATTTGGCTTGAAAAATCAGTATTGACAATATCCAGGATTGATGCGCTTCAATGTGGATTTTTAGTCAACCACCTTATCAGTTTTATAATTATGTATTTAGCGCTAATTATCTTGTGAATTTCGAAAACTACAACGTCATTTATTGTACATACCATCTCAACTATATCGCATGGATTGATATAGAACTTTTTTACTTTTCAATGATTGTAGGTCTATGAATTGCATTAAATTATTTTTATAACGGTTTTGTATTTTTCTTTTAGGATGCAATTTAGATTTCTTAGGTGTAAGCCCCTTAAACAACATTTCAGAATGTCTCTTTGCTGTTTTCGATCTTCCATAATTTCTTTGTTGGGCCAGTTTTTATAATAAATTACTTTCAATTGTATTTGTTTTTTAATCACCAATTTTTCTTTGAATGTTACTCTTGAATATCACTGATTCGATCAATAAATGTACTCTCAACTGAATATAAATAAACTAGGACACAACAGTAAAGTGAATAAATGATTGAAACTATCAAAACTCAATAAAACTTCATTTTTCATAAACTTTGAGCAATACTTTTGAAACACCATGATAATCTAAATAGTTCACTAGACTTTCCAATACTATACTATACAACTGAAAAGCACTAGAATTAGCCTTCAGTTTATTTGGACTGAATGTTTGATTAACGTTTATTAATAATATTGTTTTTAGATATATTATAACTATAGTTTTAGTACTTAATACCTTGAGGACTACATTAGAGAAAGAGAAACTATGAATATAAAATGATAATATATGTCGTAGATCATTCAAAGTCTTCCATCCTTTTCTAATATTGCTGTCCTCAATCTACTATTTCTGTAATCTGTAGGTCAGTCCAGTAGTTATAACGTCTATGGCCAAATCAGCTATTTTTGTTTATAGGGGGTTGTGAGTTTGGTACAAGACAATTAAAATTAGGGGATTCATTATAATTTACGGTCTAGGATTACATCTGCTAAAAAATAAACAAATACATCAAATGATCATGGTGGTATGCTGTCACGGCCAGTGTCTAACAGGTTAATCTTTGTTTTCGGCATGCCCCATAGTCTTTGATGTCTTCCGCAGTTGTAGGCGAACAGTCACGCCCAAAAACCTACAGACTTTAGCTAATAAACTAGAAAGGAGTAAATAATTTGATGGATTATGTAAAGATATTTTTGTTCCGTAATGGGTCCGAGGCCAGCAACATATCTGTGCAGGTTAGCACAGGGAACAAGATTGTTGGAATGGGTGTCATGAAAAATATAAAAAGATCGGGGAAAAACGCAACAAGTTCTTGAGGCTGCAATGTTATCCGGAGTTGAACGAAATGGAGAAATCAGACGGTTCCCAGGAAGAAAAATGGGTCTGAGGCACTCTGAGGTGAAAGTGATCCATAACAAGATGTGAAATACGCACAGAATCCACCAAAGACATTAAACGCAACAAATGCTGGAAGACATTGAAAGTACGCGTAGTAGTAATGGGTACCTTGTTGGCAACACTGGTTTTCAATTTTACATTATCTCTTCTGCCAAATTTCATAGAGCAGTCTATTATAAATCAATCTGTGAGCTGTAATTGATGCACAGAACATGAAAGAACAGAAGAGGTTGTTTTGTTCATTCTATGATTTGCACGAGAAAGTGTAAAGTGTACTACTGAATGGTATTAGGTCTGACACACTTTGACGTGAAGGTGGCAAAAAATGCCCAAAAACTAAAAAGCACTAGAAATAGTCTTCCGATTCATGTGGACTGAATGTTCAACTAATGTTTTTAGATATAATTATAGCTAAGTCACTTTGGTACTTGATGTTGAGGACTACATTAGAGAAAGAGAAATTATGAAAATGTCGTAAAATATTCCATCTCATTCAAAGTCTTCCATCCTTTTTTAATATGGCTGTCCTCAATCTGTAGGTCATTCCAATAATTATAACGTCTATGGCCAAGTTACCTGTTTTTGTTTATAGGGGGTTGTAATTAAAATTATGAGATATGGGATTCAGTATAATTTATGGTCTAGGATTCCATCTGCTAAAGAAATATATGAAAGAGACAATCTACAATAATTTTCCTCTAGGATAATGTTGATGAGTTATCTATTCAAAATTCAGTCGTAAATTATTCCAGCTCACTCAAAGTCTTCCATCCTTTTCTAATATTGCTATCCTCAATCTACTAAATCACAAGGAAGTAAAAAGATCAATGCCTATTGCCCTGCCAGCATGAAAGTAACGATTAGCCCGAATGGTAGCTGTAATGTCAGTTATATAAAAACACACTTGGGCCACCAAAATGATTTGCGTCACCTGACATTGACCAGATCTGATAAAAAACTCCTCTCCGGTGCTTCAGTTACTACAGATTTAAAATTTTGTGACATATTCGAAGAAGAGGTAAGTCATTATCAAGTGAATCTAGTGAATAAGTCTAAGAGAGACAGAAAGAGAGACAAAGAGACAGAAAGAGAGACAAAGAGACAGAAAGAGAGACAAATTAGACAGAAAGAGACAAAAAGAGAGACAAATAGACAGAAAGAGAGACAAAGAGACAGAAAGAGAGACAAAGAGACAGAAAGAGAGACAAAGATACATAAATAGAGACAGAGAGAGAGACATACATGCAGATCAGTATTTCTTTATGTTACAGGAGGTTCCCGTTTCTTCTTCAAACGAAAAAGTGGAAAAGTTGCATTTGGCTAACCAGAAAGATTTATCGAATATCGAAACAGCCTTTGACTGTTGGGGTACATCCTATAAAGACAATGAAATTATCAACATTAACTCTTGGGTTGACTCAACAGGGAATGGTAGTAAGGCTTTATACTACAAACCTCCCAATAGGGTCAACATGGAGAATGCCGAGTTGGAAAGAGGTGATTACCTTATCTTCATGAATGAAGCGCAGAGCGAGATTCTAAGAAGATTCGGGCAAGATTGCATTTGCATTGATCAGACACATGAAACAAATTCCAATGGTTTTCATTTAATAACACTGTTTGTTGTTGACAGTATGCGGCAGGGATTTCCCTGTGCATTTTTGCTTTGTAGCCGGACCGATCAGGCTGCAATAACAACGTTTTTTAATTTCGTTAGGGAGCAGGTAGGAATATTGATGCCTAAAGTTTTCATGGCTGACATCGAAGAATTTTTGTACGATTTATGGGTTTCCGTGATGGGGTCACCGGACAGAAGGTTGTTTTGTTCTTGGCACGTCGATCACGCCTGGAGAGATAATCTAAATAGAATAACCAGCCAAGAAAAGAAGGAAGAAACTTACAATTTGTTGAGAAGGTTACTGTTGATCGAGAGAGATACAAACACATGTAACATCACCATATACGAGGCTTTCAACAGAATGTTAGCTGACCCAGATGCAGGAGAGTTTGCTTCCTATTTCAAAGACAATTTCAGCCAAAACATTGAATACTGGGCATACTGTTATAGACTAGACTTCGGATTGAATGCCAACACCCACCTGGAGAAGCTGCATAAGATATTTGAGTACATTTATTTAGATGAGAGGAACTGTAGAAGACTCGATAAGTGTCTATTTGTTCTGATGCGATTCATAAAAGATCAGTTATTTGATCGACTAGTGAAACATAGACATTGCGTAAAAATACCTTGTATTTCACAAACCTTGAAGGAAAGGCATGCTGCCAGTCTTGATTTGGAGTTTGCGAATATAATTAGAGATAATAATGGATGGCGAGTTTCTTCGTTAGTTGGAGGTGTGAGTTCAGTGAAAGTGGAAGATGCTCAGTGTAGATGCAGCTTGAGATGCAAAGAATGTGACATCTGCTTGCATAAGTATTCCTGTTCTTGCTTAGACAACAGCGTCAACTGGAATATGTGTAAACACATACACTTGGTGTGCAGATTCCTTCAAAATAAGACTGAGTTTGTGGATGGTCGAGTTGGAGATACTTCTTCCCTTGGAGATATTTCAATTGACTACAATGATTTTGGAGATTCTGAGGAATTCATTAGCATCACACCTGAAGTATCGAAAACAGAGGGTTATAAGAAACTTTTTGCCGAAGAGAAAGATGCTCTTTGTAGACAATTCAGGGAGTTGGTGAGAGGTGTTTCTAGTCCTGATGACCTGCAGACCATTAAAAAATGTATTTCTAGAATGAAACATGAACTTAAAGGGGTTTGTTCTAAAAAAAAAGTTGAGACATAGCCGAAGTAGTTGTAATAAATAGATGTATTTGCAACATTTGGACTTTTATTGGCCTTGCAAAAGAAAATCAGTTACAGTATTCTTCAACATATAACTGTAACTCTTTCAAATTTTTTGACAATTCCATGTATTTCCAAAAAATTGTATTATTGGTGAGGTACACAATAGATTCCTCTGAAAAATTATATAATAGTTAGTCTTGTGAATAAAACACTGGAAAATCAAAAGAGTTCTTTTTTTTCCAATAACGTTTCCCTGGCTTTTTTTTTTTGGATACAATGAAACAAGAAATTAATATAAATGCTGTATGATCTTGAAAATTTCTCCAAAACGAGCACTTTTCCAATCTCCGCGATACACTTTTCACCAACCAAGTTGGTATCATCAGGAGATAAAGACAGTGAAGAGTGTTTTTGAGAAATATTTCTAGATATTCATCAGTTACATCATGAACAATAATTTTTTAAAATCAAGCCGAGGATGGATGGTGAAGAATATGAGGAGAGATGTACTTTTCCAAGCAACGAGGAAATGACGTCAGCGTGGATTTTCCTGTGTTTGGCATGATATCTAGAAAAAGCCTTAAACTAACGAAATTTCAAATTTCTACCATCTCCACTTCTTCTTTCAATCCCTCATTTCAGAGATCATATATCATATTTGGCAATACCAAATGAGCTTGACAAAAACGCAAAATGACAAAAATATGTTTGGAGCAAACATCTATATAATTTCTAGACGTTATTAGATTTAAAAATCTAGGATCTTTCTCGATCTCTCACTAATTTACAATATTTTTTTATACATAAACCTCGAAGATCTGAATTTGAAAGTGAAATGAACAATAAAATAAGATAACACTGACAATACAACACCAAATTTTCATGAAGAAAGGTTGTTTAGGTAACACGATCAATATTTCTTAGAAATCAGTTGTTTTCTTGCCAACGTTTCGAATTTTTAGCTGAGAATAATACTCAAATGTCTTATCGCCTTATTAGATCATTTCGTATCGCACTTTCAACTAGACTTCTCGATCTGTGTATTGGTAACGTTTATATATCGTAATGGAAGTCTCTGGACGCCGATAGGAAAGTCTCTCGAAGCGACGCGATATCTAGAACAATCGCGAAGCCCAAGTCGAATTGAGGGTGACCTTGGCCAAGTCACAATCGATTGACGAAGACCATCGGCGGCCGGCGTTGTTTTTTTCAGGGTACGATTTACAACATTACTTTTTGTCGCCGAAATGGCCCACTAGAAATGCATGGAAAAATGAATACGTGGACTCATCGATGGATCGCATTTCACTTTTCCCTCTTGACTTCACTAATAAATGATTAATAGTGATGTTCAATATTGCAGAAACTCTGGAGAGTGTTTTGATTTCAACACCTTGCAGTTAGAAAACTATTCATTACTGGGAAGGAAAATACGAAACATTGAAGGAGTTGTTGAAAATGAGATTAACAGTAGTAATTTGTTTTCAACATATTCATAATCAAGACATACTTACAAAAAATATGTGTAGAGTCATAAAAAATTAAATACATTGCTTAATCGTACAAAAATAAAAATATACATAAAATATTAAAAACAAAAAGTATACAAATTGTAAATCCCTCTCAATTTCAATACTTCTCCTGAATAATATAATTCAAAAGTACTTTGAGCTCATGGATTTCTGTTCTTAAAATATCCATCTCGCTGGCCGCAGCAACAGCAGTATCCTTCTCCCTGAAATACCTTTGCACCAACAACGTCATTAGAGCGGGATATTCGAGTTCGTTCATTTTCTTGATAACCTTGAGATTACCAGTGGGTTTTCTACAGCAAGCAGTTGAATTTTCATCATTACCTTTAGGTCCTTGCATGAGCACCATGAAATTGTTTATACCAGCAGGGGTGGGAATCAAATTGAATGGCGATGGGGTAGTGGACTGCAGCATATATTCCAAGTAGAAATCCGTTTTGCCGAAGGTCCATTCCACGTCCAAATTGTCTATGACACGCTGGAAGGTCGCCGACATAGTGGCAATCAGCATGTTGAGAATCATCACGACTATGAGGACTTCAAACAGAGCGAAGCAGATGTAACCAACAGCCTCAGTGAACTCGTGAGTGTTGATGATTGTCGATTCAGGGGATTCCCCAGGTAAGTTTTCGATGATGACGTCAGCCGATTCGAGAGGAGCCATGCAGAGGATGGCCCAGAAAAAGGTTTTGAGTGTCGCTGAGAAGTCCACAAAGGAAGATACTTGCTGAGTCTTGATTTGGTTCTCGTCCACTTTGACCATGCCGTCGTAGTATTGGTAGAACCTGACGTAGACAAAAACATTATTACCTGTTGAAGAGATACTCGGTGAATATCCAATGGATATCCACTCTGGATATTAGGAACATACGATGGAGATGTCTTGAGTATATAGAAGTCCAGTGGAGGTTGGAGTATATCAATCTCCAACTCCATAAGATATCTTTGGTGTGAAGAAATATAAATGTTTTATAGCACCGCGACACGATATTGAAGACAAGCTTTCTAAAGCACTCTAAATCTAATTTCAGGAAGAGGCATGGCTCTTGAATTTTTAATTTCGAATAAAGATTGCACAAACCTGCACAAGCCGGCTGAGAAGGATATGATGACGATCACGAAGAGTATTATATACTTGGCTAAATCAGCGCACATTTTCCCCAGCGATATCTGTAAAGGTCCCATGTAGTAGTTCAACCTGCAGAAGAACAGCAGCTTGAAGAAGGCCATTATGGTGGCCACTGCGAAACATCCTTCAGCGATCAAAAGCGGATCCAGGTGGTGCCAGTATTTCCTCTCCAAGTCGACTTGATCGTTGTTTTTGGCGTCAAAGTACGATGCCAGCCAAAACAGGAACGTTAGTACGAACAAAGCGTTGTTGATGATGTCATGCCAATTCCAGAGGAACTTGAAGTATCTTGAGGGCCCTACCAGTGCAAGCATCCTTATGATGATCCAAATATGTCCGGCAACGAAAACCATGATAACTGGCTCCAGACCAGAGTTTGGTGGTTTTCTCTTCTGTCCCGTCTTGTCCATANCTACAATTGATAGCACGTTTACTAACTATCTGGGCGACTAGGGGCCACAGGCAAGAAATGTTTATGACTGTACTCTTATTTTTATTGCCGTTTCAATTGGGAATGGATAGACTATACTTGTAGTTTCAAATCACTGTTGAAGAAACTACTGTGTTAGCCAAACATGTCGTGATATATTTTTCAAATAAAGTTTGTGGGTATCAAATCGTAGTTTATGAAACAACGAAAAACTGACAGACATATTTTTTATAAATACATACCTGGGGAACATGTACATACTAGACGATTGCATCCCAGAACTCTGCGTTAGAATAAGCTCCATCTCAGTAGTGCTCCTGCAGCAAGCTATCAGATCCACCGCGAACATGCTAATTTCAGCAGACAGCTCCGAGTAGGCTACTCGGAACTCGGGGACGAGAAACGAAGACTCCTTCAGCTCCTGCGACAAGTGAAAAGCGGCTAGGATGGGGTCGTGGGTAGAGTAGCATATGTAGGCGGGATTGGCCACCGCCCTGTAGAGGTTGAGCCGCAAGCTCTCCGCGTGGAGGATGTCGTCGTGTTCGAGACGGACTCGGCAATCTGAACATCTGAAATATAAAATTACTAACTGAGAAAACCACTAGATTTATATGAAATCGATCATTCAATAATCTCTTCTCTAGTGTGATGTCTTCTTCATCTGCTGTGGATTGATTCGCAATATTTCGCAGTCTGATTGCATTAGAGCTTTGTTGTGAAAGATTTGAACTTCTCGCCCGCAGCATTGGAAAAATTTACTTTACTGACGTTGCTTCTAAAGGGTCTTTCAACATAAAATTGATCCTAAAACTTGAAATTGAAGAGTTAAAGATCAAAGGATATGTATGTTAGGATTTTCTATAGACAGAAAGGCCACTTATAGTAGGCACTTTTTTTATTGTAATGAAAAGCTGGGGTTATTGAAGTAAGGGTTCTAGCTCACTAGAAGATAGTGTTTTCTAGAATTCTACCTGATATTCTGAATTGGTTTATGTATTTTAGTACTTGTTTCTGCATATATTTTCCTAATAATTTTCAAATTGCTGAAGGAATATGGGTCTAAAGGATGAAAGTCAGTGGGTTTATTACTCTTTGGCAGAGGTCACACAAGATGACCTGGCAAGAGAGTAATAAATGATTTTCCAAAAGAATTTCAAGACACGTGTCAAGATAATCGTATACAAATCGATTGCAATTGATTGCAAACATTTGTGGCTTTGAATCACATCACGTGACATTGGTTCTGATAATCGATAAAAGTGACTGAGGAAAAATTTACATAAAATTTATTAATTGTTTGTAGTACCGCAAGGTCTGAGTCTAAGTGATTATAAGTAATATAGCTATACGAGTTCTAAGCCATTCCTTATGGAAAAACGCGTGCAAATTTGGACAGGTCCATTATGGACCCTTTTGGACATCCAATCGGAATCTTGTGGAACACCTAACTAAAGAAAGGTGTGACGTAGTCGTCCCCACCTCCCCACAGAAGCTACCGCGCTTACAGCGGGAAATTCAAATCCAGTAGATGAACAAGGCGGCTTCTGGCTCAAAATCCCATGTATTTTCTTATGGAGCTAAACTTTTTGCAATTTTTGGTTCAAACATGAGTGGGGGAAACGTGTGACGACATCGATGCAGAATGGAATGAGTATCGGAGAGATTCAAGCGTGGGACCCCGCTCCTCGGCCCACTTAATACTCCGCCTCACCTCTCGGGCCCCCTTGAGACTCCGCCTCACCCCTCGGCCTCCTTGTCACGTACCAGTCACGTGATCCTAAATAAAAAAAGTTTATAGGTATGAGATTTGAACCCGGGTCGTCAGCGTGGTAGCTTCTGTGGGAAAGTGGGTACAACTACGTCACACCTACCTTGAGTTGGGTGTTCCACAAGGTTCTGATTGGAGGTCCAAAAAGGTCCAGAATAGACCTGCTCAAATTTGCACGTGTTTTTCCATAAGGAATGGCTTAGACCTCTTATTACTATTGTACTTCACCAAGCAATAGTGGGTTAACAACCTGCAAGAAGGCGGATGTGGCTTGCTGATGGTGTGTCCTCTTTCGATGAGCATTTTGATGATTTCATAGTGTCCACATTGAGCGGCTAAAATGAGTGGAGTTACGTAATCCGGAAAGTCCGAGCTATGTGTGACTCCGACGAACTCCAGACTGGGGGCGGTTTGGCTGAGCTTGTGGAGCAGCATCGACAGGATGACCGGCTGGTTGTCTTTGACAGCGTGTAGGACACAATCGCCGATGTCAATTCCTGGTTGCTCCAGGAGGAATTCCACCATGTTGTCGGTGTGAGATTGCACCGCTATCAGCAGGGCGGTCACTCCCTGGAAATTGGTGCAGTTTATGTTGATCTTGGGGTTCTGCTCCAGGTATTCTTTGACAGCGATGACATCTCCTAGAAGTTTATATTATACCAGTTGAAAAAATTAGAGTGGAATGAATGACGGTATTTGGAATTCGGAATAGGTGAACTTGAGAAAAAATGGGAAAAATTATGTAGAGTAAGTTCTCCAGAAAAATACGGCAATTCAATTTTAGGTAGTCGCGGTGAACCTTGGGATAAGTGCGTGCTATTTGTGCTGCTAGAAGCAGCTGTGTTTTCATTTCGAATTCTCACTTCGCATTCTTTAATATTACAGCACATTTCCTCAATAATATGGTAAACAGAAACATTTTAAATAAAATCTTCATCAACCTCTAAACTTTTCTCAATAACCTCATCTACTGTTTGTAATAATTCACTACGCGTTGAATCTAACGACCTCCCAATTATTTCAAATTTTTTCCTTACTACTGGATCATTAACCTTTTTTGACAAATCATATAAACTCTGCAAATTGGTAAACAATGATTCCTTTTTTGCTGTCAAAAGCTTGACCTTCCGCTCCGCAACCGTACCTCCTGTCATTTTTATGACAAATTAATAAAACCCAAACAAAAAAATAGTGAAAGAAATCGAATTACGATTGGGTATCAATTTATCTGACCTGGTAGTTTCACTAGTGATTACGTGGTATACAGGGTGGGCCATTGAAAACTTGACGCTCAGCCAGGTCGATTTTTATTGGGAGGGGTTTTTTCCCCATTTACAGCGTCGTCACTTCAACCCCGGAACAGAAGGGTGAACAACCCTTGGAATTTTAATAGGGAATTGTTGTACGCCACGGCTCAGTTGGAATGTATTTGGAACTCTTTCATTTGTTTCTTACGCTACTTTTTTGTTAATTTTTTAGTTATTCACTGATAAGAGGACTATTACAATTGAGAAATGGTTGAAAATGCTGTTTCCATTTATCATTTTTATGTTAAAAGGGACGCATGTTTCATGAAGTTTTGATGCACCCTGAAATTTTGTAAGGCTAGTATCTATGGAATAAGAAGTACAAATACGTGTGTTTGCCTGACCCTACCCGGGACACCAGGTACTGCGCATAATAGAAAGGTGTAAAAAATATAAGCCAAAATAAGTGTTTGATTCACAGGCCAACAAACTTTAATCGAAAGATTAGTTAATTTTTAATTATAATTTAAGATGGCAGACACTTTGGAGAAGGTTTACATGTAATTAATTTCCCTCAAAGTTTTTTTTTATCAAAATGAAATGTTTGATTCATTATGAAATTTTAACAGCTACTCAATCAAATATTCAGAAAGTTAATTACAAAAAGCCAGGCAGTTTTGTTGAGGTTTAATTTCCGGCAAACATGAAAATAAATTTTATTTCAAATAGAAAGAGATAGGTTGCGCATAGTTGACGGCGTGAGTGAGAACACCGATTACCATTGTAGCTACGCTCCCCTTCTACGCTCTCATTGGTTGATAATCACGTGATCTTTAGCAGCTGTGCAGGCAGTATATCGTGTGTTTTCTGTAGACCATTGTTATTGTCCAAAAAAAAAATGTACACCGTTGTTTAGAGAATTCCAAGATCTATCAAACGATGTGCGACTCGCCCCCAGTTCCCTATTAAAATTTCAAGGGTTGTTCACCCCTCTGCTTCGGATTTGACGTGATGATGCTGTAAACTGTTCCCCTTCCAATAAAAATCGATCTGTCTGAGCGTTTTTTAGGATTTTCAAGATTAGTACCCGAAACCCCCGTGTCAAGTTTTCTATGGCCCACCCTGTATATAAAAATTAGAGTCATGCATTAGTTTTCAACATGTGTGATAGCGAATCATGCTGTGAAAAAATGAAACAAACAGATTTTTTACCTGTGGAAACCAATTCAAAAAACTTTTTCTCGGTGTCTTGCAACTGCGGAAGGATGATGCTAGGTGTGGGAACGAGAAAATCGGCTTCTTCCTGGGAGAGTTTTTTGTACGACACATGAGACGGTTTCAGGACAGGAGGTTTCAAATGTTGAGCTGCATTTTCATCTGCTATTTGTTGTTTAGACATTGTAGTAACTTGGACACATATACAAAAGAATAAGTAGATACGAACGGCAAGAATGGAAGTGACTTTTTACTTCACTGTCAAATGCAGTGTCACAATGACAAGATGATTATTCGTGCGTAAAACATAAGTCACCAAAAGTCATTTATGAAGGACATTCGCATCAACTTGCTTGCTCTTTTGAAGTATCATGTTGTTGAAAAAAAAAGTAGAATGATATTGAATAATAATGATTTTTTTGTGGAAGAAATTAGTTTTTTAATCGACCTTCTCTGTGAAGCTTCATCTCTCGCAATCTGAAAACTATGAAAATCGTAATGGAGAACTTTACACACGTATAGAAATGACAAGCTTTTTATTTCAACCCGATAAGTTACTAGGTACATTAAAAAAAGTTATATTTTTCAGTAATTTGTCGTATTTCATAATTTTGCCTATCAAAAAAGGCTGAGAAATTAGACAAGTACTCATCTTAAAATTAATTAAATCAATCGAGCAGTGAATAATATTCGAGGAAGGTCACAGTTGTGTTATCATGAACAAGGCCAGCATTTTGAGCATTTGCTGTGATTTGCTTTTGCCTTTACATTTTTGTTAATTATTGTTATTTGTTCAAAGTTCTATTTTCATTGAAAAGGACACAATTTCTAATTCACCTCATATACACCTCATATATCAAATTTTGATTGTTAATTTTGTCTCCGTATTTTTTCCTCGGCTTTTCAAGTGATCCAATAACTTGAACAACATAGTTCGATGTGGTTGTCGTCTTTCGGTATACAAGTTTGAATACATTTCCGATGTCCTAACACTGTTTCTATCGTATTTGTAATAAATTTTTTATCTTCATTAGTGAAAGCCATTTTTCGCTAAAAATTCAATGACTTGTATAATAACAAAATGTCTTTTTCAATCGACTTTTTTTTGGGTATTTGTTACCTTCGACAATATGAAAAAATATAAAAGTTATAATGGAGAACTACACACATCGGAAAAGTCTAGGGATATTTTCAAAAATGGCAATAATTTTTTTTAGATCGCTTTAGGAAAAAAAAGTTGACGGGTGATTATTAAACGAATGTAACTTACAACAAAATTTATTAAATGGTCAAAAATACTGAGTGCGCATATAAGCAAATGTTTTTGCAGGCTTTGTTCAACCCATAGAAATCTACAGGGTGGTCGAGTGTACCAATTTAATAGAAATTAAACGACCTCATGCATTTATTTTTATGATATTTAGTATGTTATAAAAATATCCCTAGACTCCAAGTGTATATACTCTTGAAGAACTTTATACAAGTGTACACATCTGTATACATCTCCATTATAATTTTTATATTTTTTCAGACTGTGGAAGGAACAAATACCCAAAAAAAAGGTCGACGAAAAACTGATTTCCCTCCACAAAAAATGACTTTCGTTGAATAACAAAATGTCATTTAGTGTAACAAATTGGAAGTCAAAGCCAAAGAATCCAATATAGCTCCCATAAGGAAAAATAAAGTTGATGATGGTGGCCGGAAGATGAAACGTCGGATATCAAATCTGAAAACACCATTATGCAGCAGGGAAAAAGTGGAAATATGGAAGTGCAATTAATTTTCGTATCCATCGAAAAATAAAGCCAGAAAAAAATAAAAACCCTTTTCCGAAATTTCAGTTTTTTTCGGATATCTCCGGAGGATATACTCGGAATATCAGAACTTTCTCAACGGCATATTGTTAGTCATGTAAATGCGCAACTTTGCCCTAATTTAACCATCTTCGTATCTCTCATAGTTTCCGAGATCCCAATGGAGAGGATCGAATTTGAAACACACTGTAGAGCTACAAAAACACGTGACATCAAAACGTGACATTGATTTTCAGAAAAGACTCTGAATATGAGAAAAATGACTCTGATAAAGATCAATCGAAATGAAGCTTTGGAGAGAGCAGGTGACATTAAGACACGGAAAACATCCAATCAGTCTAATTATCTTAACTACTCCGTTGTCCAACTTTCAGTGCAATTACGAGCACATTGTTCGTGTAGCATCTTCACGCATGAAGCAACAGTTTCAAGAAAGGCGTTCTTGCTATTCCTCGGGCGCTTTCCACCATTTTTTAGAATTCTGGGACAAAGAAATCATCAAACACGTGCTCGGTAAAAAGCGAAAACATTCAGCAGGAATTTCCATCGAGACACAATCTATCGAGCGATTTTACAACGTTCAGCGCTGATTTTGCAATTTATTAGATTCTTCGTGAATAGATTCTGTCACGAAGTGCTCTAATAAATTCAACTCTGATTAATGTTAACTCTTTCGAGCTTCGAGTTTATTGCCCATTTCAATGATTCGAATGTTCATTCTTGCAGGATACATTTTTCAGCGGTTCAAAAAAATTATTGACCACGCTGAAGAATTGCCTCGTACAGAGTTCCTTCGATTGTTATCTTTTTTTTTTAATTTATAAACATATAATTGGCCAGTAATCGAATAGATCTGGTGTTATGGACCACAAAGTATTCTTTGATTAATATTGTTGTATATGTTCATTTATATTTCACACTGTATAGGTCATATTTTACCGATGGGTGTAGACTGTGAAGTCTGTCATTCTGTTATCACTTTTGTCATATGCATTTTTGTAATAAAGTATTACGTATTTCTTAACAAGAATTTACATATACAATAAATATAATCTTGTAGTTATTGTCAGATAACATAAACACGAAGTCTCCGAATACAATATTTATTCTAATTCCATAACGAACATTAATAAACAACACGTGTGGACTCCAAAAATGCTCAGCTGTGACCGATCCAGGGTTACTCGTCATCTCCTACATTCGGCCATCCTGCAAAAGGTCTGTCCTCAGACTTTATTCTGACCTGAGAACTAAAAAAAATATTAGAAAAATTCAACAGAGCAACGTTTATTCAATGGTGACGTTCACCAAAGGTAACGTTTACCTTTACCATGGGGTAAACCAAATAAATTACTGGCTAATTGTCTTTTTGGTAGTACAAAACGTCAGGTTCATTTCAATATTGTAACTTCTTCAGTGCTTGTGAAAAAAATGTTATACAAATTTTATGTACCCCCTTTGAGGGGCTGTATCTTAACAAGGGATGCTCCAATGAAGTTTATATATAATAAAGATCTTATCTTTTTTTCGATGAGGAATCACCTCCTTGAATGTTTTACACTTATTTAGTTACACCCTGTATATAGGTATCACTTTAGCTATTTTTAGTTCCGGTGGAAAATATCCCTTTTCCATAATATCATTAATTAGCTTTACTAGGTGATCACTGATAGATAGTAGAAAGCCAAATCCCAAAAATATTTTAACTAATTTTCAACAGATTTACCAGATTAAATTACGACATGGAAAATGGGGGGATGAAGGGCACTCAATCCTTCGAGAAAAATCGGATTTGTTGATGGATCCCGGCCACAAAGAGATTTCGCTCTTACCGCACCGAGTCTTCTTTAATACTCATTATCATCATTAGCAATTATTTCTGAAACCTCGACTCCGAGGCAGTTAAATTGCATTATCTTCATTAAAAGCCACATCCGCGATGCAGCAACTATCTTTTATTTGTCGACAGAACAACGACGTTCCGGATTATGCTCCTCACGATCAAGATTGCCTTTTTCCGACTCTAGGCGTAAATTACAAACAGCATTTGTTGGTATGATCTATAAGCGTTGTATTACAAGAGCTTTCATTTGTTCTGCAGCGACCGGCTGATATTCCACGAAATCTACGACATGAAATATGCAAGCGCTTCCTATTTCGGTATGCAGCTTTGTTAAGTGCTCCACTACGCTTCTATTTGTCAATTTATATTCCAGCTATAACGCTACCACACGTCGGTATAAGGAAAGAAATGTGTAGCAGGACAAATGATTCCCGATTGCCACGGAAAAAATGGACGAGATGAGTATTCAATAAACCAGCGTTGTTCTTGCTGGAAAAAGATATCTTATTTTGATAAATCTTTTTGTCTGCCCATAATATTTTGCATCTCAGTTNTGATGCATCTTGTGCTTTGATGATAAAGTTTGTGTCGTCCGCATATGTTATTACTTGAACTGTTGCATATATCAGAAATAGTAAAGGCCCAAGAATTGAACCCTGAGTTACCCCATGTTTGATATTTGCCAAATTGCTAACTTTATCACCAATCTCGACGCTCTGAACTCTGTTTTCTAAATAAGACCTCATCAAATTCAAGGCAACACCCCTCACACCATATCTTTGCAATTTCCGTAGTAGCAGATCGTTGTATCGCCAACAACATATGCAGAAATTGCTTCTGTGAAGAATGTTTCACTGACACCTGTCGGATATAATCCAAAACCCTTCGTGGTATTAGCCAGGGGAGTTGTTGTTTTCCGATAGATGTGTCAGTTCATTAACGAATTGTTTTTTTATATAATTCGATTTATAGCCAGTCTTCAAATATGCCCCTTATTTACTATATGTCAGTTGGATAGTAACTTCCACAAATTACTAACTTGATCAAATTCCTGCATTATCAACGGAAATGTGATTTCCTCTAATTGCAGTTTATTGAGCTTTTGACGAATAATAGAATAGAAATATCAGTCCGACCCTTACTGTATATACGATTAAAAGTCCAGGGGATTTTTTAATATTGTGGGACTATTCACCAGTATTTTAACGATTTTGCTTATGAAATATGGAATTTCATTTATTTCCATCCAGCAATTATTTCTATAGTGGACAGCTCTCGAATCGTTTATTATTCGGATCATATTCTCTGAAACACTCAAAAATTCAATGACCCAAATTTTTCAGGGCACTGAAAATCCGGATTATTAACTTAGAAATTCCATCTATACTAATATTACAAATGTGAGAGTTTGTGAGCATGGATAAATGTATGTATGAATATATGTTGTGGCTTCTTTACGCTTAAACGACCGAACGGTTTAAGATGAAACTTCACGTAAATACAGCTGTCGGAAGACAGTGTGTGTCGCCTCTGTTTGGAAAATGATGAAACAGCAGAACATATACTTTGTGCCTGCCCCGCTGGGGATCGAATCAGGTTTTTAGAGTTCGGCAGAGCCGTACTCTTACCATC